CTAAGGCCAAGTGTACATTGAGTGTACATTCTTCTAAGGCCCAGAACAGTTCCCACATCCCAAAACCTCCAGCCCTCCATCCAAAAGTTCATTAATACCCTGAAGAAGTCTCTATGTCACTTACATGGTATGCAATCAAATAATGACTAAATGACTGTTTAATATTCAAGAGTGGTTATCTTACCTACCTCCCCTCAATCTTTTCGAAGCAAGAACCATGTTTTATGCATCTTTATTTCCCTTTGAATCCTAGGAGCTTCCTGCCCAAAAGAAGGAACTTGGTGAACAGTTTGCTGACTGACAAAAGTTAAAAGCTGCCAGGAGGCATAAATGTTAGAGGAAAAATTGGTACAGTTTGCTATTGGGAGTCATAATGTCCTCAAAGTGTCAAATAAAAATTTCCTTAAGTAATATTATGGGATAATATGGGGTCAAGGAATTAATAACAGCAAGAGGTCAGTATCCCCCACCTAGTAAAATTCAATACCAAGAAATCTGGAAACCTAAACTATTCCCACCTCTCAGTTTGTGGCCTGGGGCTGGTTAGCATTTCCACTTCTTAGGTTCTTCATTTGCATGAGGAGAGTCTCAGCTACTTTATAAGAATGTAAAAGATATGCAAATGACATAGAAACACTTGGAATGTTTGGGCCAATAAAAATCTGAAGTTAACATTTAATGTTTGAAAAGAAAATAATCACAATTTCCTTTTTATTCCTTTCCCAGTGCCCTAATTCATTCTCCTTTCCTCCATACCAAAAAAAAAAAAAAAAAAACCTAAACAAACTGGGGGATAAGTATTTGCAGACTCCTCAATAGCGGCACATTTTGTCCAAGGCATTAGGAATTCTTCCACATTATAAATTTGCCTTCACAAGGAAATAAGTAGCTGGGTTTTAAGGAGATGTACTGTTTTATTTTGGACATACTCTGAAATAAATATATGTGTATATAATTTATAGTTTCCTCAAAAATCAAAGATGAAATATTATAACTGGTATATTTGGTAACTGGTAGACCAGTTGTCCTAATCACTGGCATAATAAACAACACTGAAATAATTGCTTATTATTATCAAAATATGTGATCTTAATCTGCAGGCAGGTTAACTGGGGGGCAACAGTATAGTAATACATAAGCAATTAATTTTGGTGATATTGTTGCTGGAAAAGTCCAGCAACACATCAATGAAAGTCTTTATAATAGTTCTATTTAAAAAAAAAAAAAAAGCTCTGTTTCACATCTGTACATACAATCTTATCAAAGAAAGTCTACATTTTTACTCAAAGAAATAAATTAATTCTTGTATGCTTTATAAGATTTGAATAAATAAAGTTCTCATTTCTTACATTAGTACATTCATGAAAAGCAAGTTTGTGATTAGCTTGTCAACACAGAGACCACATACAACTTTCCTGACATTGGATTAATTTCATGCCTTGAAAAATCTCTAAAGATTGAATTGTTTATTTCTGGAAGGAAAAAAGGCTAGGAAAATGCCATCAATACAACACCAGGCTTTTCTTTTCCCCTTGATGTCTGTCTCTTCCTGTTCCAATAAAGAAGACTCCAGGGCAGAGGGTGTTGCCCTGGGTTTGAACCCCATTGTGGGGGAAGGATGAAGAAAATGGTTTTTCTCACCAGCATCTGTAGCTGGTTGAAGCAGGGAAGATAAGAGCTGGGAGAATATAAACTCTGTGGGAATTTCTTCACACAAAGGGGTCAAGCAGGGACGAGTTGTATTAGGATTTAAATACTTCTGCCTCAAAAACCACAAAACCAAGTGCTATGTTGGAATGTGTATGCCAAATTTCAGAGTTCCTGTGCTGGAAACTTAGTCCCCAATATGCAATGTTGAGAGATGGGATTGGACCTCTAAAATGTTACTAGGTCTTGAAGTAGGAATTAATGCCATTGTCATGGGAGTGAGTCCTTACAAAGAGCTCTCTCGCCTCCCTACCCCCCTCTTTTTCTTTCACTCATTCTTTCCTTCATCCCTATGATGCTTTCCACCATGTAATGCTACATCAAGAAGGCCCTCAACTATGGGCATAGTGGCACACACACCTGTAATCCCAGGGCCTCTGGGAGGCTGAGGTAGGAAGATCTAAGTTCAAAGCCAGCCTCAACAACTTAGCCAAGCCTTTAAACAACTAAGCAACTTAGCAAGACTCTATCTCAAAATAAAAAAAATAAAAAAGGTCTTGGTTCAATCTCTAGTACCCAAAGGGAAAAAAAAGAAAAGGAAGAAGGCCCTAAACTGATTCTGGCTGGTCCCTTAGCCTGTAGATCTATGAGAAATAAATTTTTAAATACATTATTCAGTTTCAGGGATTCTGTTATAGCAGCACCAAATTGACTAAGACACAAAGCTAAATTTTTTTTTAATATTTATTTATTTTTTAGTTTTCGGTGGACACAACATCTTTATTTTATTTGTATGTGGTGCTGAGGATCGAACCCAGCGCCTTGTGCATGTCAGGCGAGCGCTACCTCTTGAGCCACACCCCCAGCCCAACAAAGCTAAATTTAGATTACAAAAATTTTGCACTCAAATTGATGCCCTGGGTAAAAACAGCTCAAGCTAGCAGATGTTAATCATTTCAGTGACCTTTTAGAGTACTGGAACTTAACAGCAGTTTATTTTCATCACCAATTACAACAATTATGGGACTCTAAGTCTAGGATTTAAAACAAAATTATCCTTATTATATTATCCACAATATGACAATTGCAAAGAACTCATCAATATTCAATAAGAAATGTTTTCTAATGAACATAGCTCTTGTGTTAAATGAGATTAATATTGGCCTTAAATTTTATAAACACTGAATTAAGCAATAGATAATGAATAAAGTAGGAAAAAAAAAAAAGAGAGAGAAGTACCCACAATGATCCTCTCCTTCAGACCTAAGGTGCCCTGGTGTGTGGCACTCACTTTTCCTAGGCAATTCCTATGCTATCTTGACAGCAAGCAATCTGATAAATCCCCATAAGATTAAATAATAGTTTCTCTCCTATTAGTCTCCTCAATTCTGCTACCAAAGAAACATAAATGAAGATAAAATTCCATAATGATATGAAATAGACTCTTTGGAAAAGAAGAAAGGCACTTCAATTTTAAAGGAATCAATATGTGGGCTTGGGAGTGGGTCTCTAATTCAAAATGCTATCTCCTCCAAGAGAGGTTTTGGGCTGTATACTGACTGATGACTGGCAGTCTTTACATCAGACACTCTAGGCTGCCCATAGATGGCATGTATCTAGAGTGTCATGGATGGCATGTATCTAGAGTGAGGTCCATGAGGATCCCTACCTACTATTTCATTCCCATTTGTGAAATAACTGAAACCCCCTCTCAGGATCTCAACAGAATCAGAAAATTAAAACAAATGCTTCAAGGTAGATCTCCACAGCAAATAAAGAAGTATGAACATTAAGTAGAAATGATAAATATTTTTTCTAGTATTTGAACTTTTTTGTGGTAATATATGTTAAAAAGTCCTAGAAACATTTTCTTTTTTGGGGGGAGGGGGTGTACTGGGGAGTGAACTCAAGACACTTTACCACTGAGTCACATCCCCAGTCCTTTTTATATTTTATTTAGAGACAGGGTCTCATTAATTTGTTGAAGCTGGCCTCCAACATGCAATCCTCCTGCCTCAGCCTCCTGAGTCACTGGGGCTATAGGCATGCACCACTGTGTCTAGACCTTTGTACCCTCCGCCCCAGGGAGACAGGTAAATTTTTCTAGGTCTTTATGTATCAGGCACTGTGCTAAGTGCTGTCACATTTAACACATAATCTAATTCAGTCCTTATAAAGCTGTAGGTTAGGTGTTTCTTTCCAGTTTTACAGTTTAAAACCCAAGCCTCAGAAAAGCACAAAAGGTAAAAAGTCAGTGATAATTTTTAAGTCAGGTATAAATAAGGCATGCACTTATTGTCACCAATACCTACTAAGGCAATCATTCCAAATATAAATAAATATTTTTTCTTTTTCTTTTTTTAGATGAAACAGTTGAAAATGTAATTAACTATTTATTGAAAAAAAAATGCAGAATAAGTGAATTAAGGGATGTTTTCACTTGAAGATACAATAAACAACCTTAAATATTCAGAGGGCTGTCACACAAAGGATGAAAGACTTGTTTGGAATTTCTCCAAAAAGCAGAACTGGTGAAGAGATAAATATAAGCAACCAATAGACTATAGGAGAGTTGTACAAAGGGTATCACTTATCTTAATAGCTCCTTTTCTACCATATGATGCATTTCATACTTAACTACTCCCTTCTTCTGGGAGTAGATATTACAACTTAATACTTCTGACGAATGTCCTAAATAAGTTGCATTTTCGTAGAAAGTTCTCCATTGCCAGAAATGGCTTAACTCCCACTATTAGAAAAAAAAATCTAAAGTCAACGAAATGGTTTATCTATTTGTTCCTCAGACATATTTCTGTATTCTACATTAGTGATTGCCATGAGGTAGGAAGAAAAAAAAGCATATTCTTCAAAGAAGGTGAATCACAATTCCCAGCAATTCTGATCTTGCCCATGGGGACAGTCCTCTTCAAACTCCAAATGAATCACTACAACATCAACCAATGGTACAGACGGGAGTTTGATGTGTGCGGGGGCAGAGAAAAGAGTTGACAACCACTGTTCTAACATGAAGCAGAACAGCTTATTTTATGAATCACTAGGAGATAAAAACTAACCACAGACTACTTATGGACTCCATCTAAATTGTTTTTTGTTTTTTGTTTTTTTAAATATTTATTTTTTAGTTCTCGGCGGTCACAACATCTTTGTTTGTATGTGGTGCTGAGGATCGAACCCGGGCCGCACGCATGCCAGGCGAGCGCGCTACCGCTTGAGCCACATCCCCAGCCTAAATTGTTAAATATTACAAGACTAGCCTCAACAACTTGGCATAATGCTTAAGAACAGAAAATAAATATTTACACATTTAAATATATAATTAATATTATACTCACCAGCACCACTGCCCAAGTTTCTTCCATCTCTCACACCTGTATCAAATGGTAATAGAAATATGCTTTACAAACCAAATGCAAACAAGATTAAAATTTCAATGCAATAAATTGCATCAAATGATGAAAATAAGAACATTCACATACCTAACAGAAAGTTGGATGTATGTCACAATGCATAAAACATTATTCTTTGTTGTTGGAAATCACTCTATTGCTTACCAAGTACTTTCCCATGCAAAATGTAGTTAAATGTGATAGCTTAATATCTTATTCAAAAGAAGTATCGGATGAAAGGAGATATTAGGGATTGTATTTTAAGGCAAGCTGGTTGTCTCTCTTATATTGAATGTTCATAAGAGCAAGCACACCAAGCCTTTCACCTAGTAAGTGAGCCACATGCCCAGTTTGGGGAAGAGGGCTAAGGAAGGTTAGTAGAAGGAGGTGGCCGGTGCTTTACGTGCAGTCATGTCTCTGAGCACCTCTTTTGTCTGGCTTAAATGCTGCTGTTGTTTTTGTGATGCAATTCAGCCATCTAGGCACCTCCTTTTTTTTTTTCTTTTTATAATTTCTTCTTTTAAATTTTCACCAGTGGAGCTGCCAAAAATCAGTCTGTCTTTGGCAACCTGCCCCTTTCCATTTGCCAGCAATGACAGTGATGTCCAATAGCACCTCAAGTCCAAATAATTGACAAATAATTCGGGAGGGCTAGCAGTCATTTAGGCAGCACCCCCTTCCATAACACGACTTGTGAAAACTTTCTCCGAGTCTTGAAAATCAGAATTATAAGCAGGGCATGGTGGCGCTTGCCTATAATCCCAATGAGCTGGGAGGCTGATGCAGGAGGATCACAAGCTCGAGGCCAGCCTCAGGAATTTAGCAAGGCCCTAAGCAACCTCGCACCCCTAGGTTCAATCCCTGAATTGTATCGAATTATATGACTAAATAGTACTGAAGTAGAACAAAAGCCCATGAATCTTCTACCACCAGAATATGATATCAACATGGCATCAAACTTTAGGTCAAGCTAAATGATTCATGGAATAAAAGTTTACATCACAACTATCATATGACTGACATACTAGGATTTACAAGAGTATAAAAATACTTTTCATTATTCAGTCCCTGTGTCATTGCTGCACCAGTCCCAGGATCAAAGAAAATAATCATTGAGATGCTGAAACACTTGCACTTCGTGATATCATCTTACTAAGCTCTGAAAGTCCAAATAACAATAGGTGGATGAATCAAATTTAACAGCACAGTTCATGGACATATCTTTGATAATAAAATGAGGATAGGAAGGATGACTGATGGTAATATAAAGCAGAATGATAGCAAAGGAAAACACAGCATTTCTGCTTTCTTCACTAAGCTAAATCCACCACTTCCTTGAAAACTCAGCTCAACTGATGTCCGTAAACCTAACCAACTCAGATTACTCTTTTATTGCTCCTTGATTCAGCATTCATATATTCTAGTTTTATTCCACCAATAGCACCAGCTATTTCATTTTTTAATTTTTCTAAAATTACTTCAGGTCTGCATATGTTGGCTTCCTATCTCTTAGCAAACAGAATCTGTGACTAAATATTTTTAATGCCACAATTAAGCCTGGCCTCCAAGCTGTATATATCATAGGTTCTGCTTGGTAATTAAATTCAAGTTTATAAATATGTACATATTGAGCAGCTACTTGAAGTGAATAACAAGAGTCTTGGAAAAGGCAAACCTGAAAAAGACATAGTACCTTACCATGTATTCAAGAAACTTAACATTTAGTAAGATAAGCAAGACTTGTGAACAATTAACAAGAAGACAGATAGAATGCCATACTGCTCATGTAATTAGCTAATCTATGCACTGATAATGGCGGTGGGGAGGTATTTGCCATCGTGCTTACAGAAGAATAATTGCTTTACACTTTAAAAATCAAGTAAAGCTTCAAAGTAAGTAAGGTAAAGCATTTCAGAAAGACAAAAATGAGAGGAGGAAATATGGGGCGGGGGGAAATGAGAGGAGAGCAAATCAGACTGAGCCTCAGCAAGTACATGGAAAGTGAGAAGTGCAGATTATCCTCAGAAAATATGGAGAAACATAACATGGCTATAGGGTATGTGAGTGAAGGAAAATGTGATAAAAAGTAGAGAGCTTTGGTTGAAGTCATCATGGAAGATATTGGAATCATAGAAATAGTTGAACTTAATTCTGTAGTTCACTATTTCCCAAACTGTTTTTCAATAAACTCTAATCCCAAAATGTTATCTGTTATTAAAAAGCTGCGTGGTCAGAAATTTTGAGAAAATTTGAAAATGTTTATATATATTAGAACATTAAAATCTCTGAGAAGGGCTGGGGTTGTGGCTCAGTGGTAGCGCTTGCCTGGCATGTGTGAGGCACTGGGTTCAATTCTCAGCACCGCATATAAATAAATAAAATTAAAGTTCCATTGACCAAAAAAAAAATATTTTAAAAAAAATCTCTGAGAAGCCTATAAGTAAAGTAACATCTTTAGTATTTTTAAGTCACAAATTTCTGTAGCTCTATAATTCTTTCCATTATTTGTTTTTCCCATAACTTCTTTAACACCTTGAGGTTCTAATGCTCTGGAGAGTAGGGCTTATGAATATGCTGCTCTAGGAAAAGCAGACTGATAATTTCCCAGCATGGAAGGGAGCTCTGGGACTGGTCCATGCTTAATACATGCTTATAGACTGACCACTTCAAAAAGTAAAAGGGAATTTCAAGAAATATGGAATCACTAGTAAGATTCCCAAAATCAATTCACCAATTAGCCCTGCAAGCAGGGAAAGAGTAGAGGGTATGATAGATTAGGATGATTCATTTTGTTTTCATTATGATAGAATATACATAATTTTTACTTTTTAACCATTTTTAAGCATAAATTTCAGGCACACTGAATTGATTTTCATTATGGTGCAACTCTCTCAGCTCCCATCTCCAGAACTTTCCATCATTCTAATTCAAAATTCTCTACCCATCAAACAATAATTCCCAATTCCCCCTCACTCCCATCCTACTTTCTGTCCCTATGAATTAGACTCTTCTAGACATCTCACATAAGTGAATCATATAATATTTGTACTTTTCTATCTGGTTTATTTTACTTAATCTAATGCTTTCAGGATGACTCGGGCGTCCATGTAAAACAAAAATAAAGAACTGCACATCCTAGTTAGAATTACTAACAAAAAAATCAAGCAAAACAAATATAAATGCACAGCACTAAAGGATATAAAGGCATTACAACTTTGCTCGAGAGGCTAATACTCTAATAAAAAGAACAGAACTAAAGAGCTTAAGATACATTTCCTTCTGCTATGTAATTCCTTGGCAGCTTGTGTCACACTCTGTCACTTGCTGGAGACTAATCAACATCATGAAAGGCCTTCAAAAGACTTCACTTATGTTTAAATATCCAGAGTACATCAAACATCACAGAAGCCTATACAAGATCTACCGGAAATGAGAGGATCATGCGTTCATTTGTCCCAAATGGCTACCTTTCAAGTCCTAAAAGGCAGAACATAACCTGATTAGCACTCAAATATCAAAGGCAAAAACATGACCGGTTTGCTGCTCTAGAAAGCTCTCACAGGGAAAACAAACAAAAACATCAGTGTGCTTGTGAGAAGGAAGAAAAGCTCAGGAAAGAAGAAAGTATCAAGGTATAACTCTTTTATTTAACCCATATCTCCTGAAACAATGCATCAAGCCTAAATCAGAACAGTTGCAAGATTGGTCCTAACTGGTCTCCCACCTTGGTCCCAACACGCTCTCTCTCACCACCTCCTTCTTCTCGGTAAACCATCTATTCATAGGTTTCCCATGTAAAGGATCACAGTGGTAATTATCCTTTGTCAAAATCTCTAATCCTCTAGTAGGTCTCTGTTATCTAACAGTTAAGTTCAACATTCATAGATTGCCATCATCCAACCTCTTTTGTGGGTCAGATCAAATGACTGGAAATCAACCACGGCATTTCTTCAGCTTATGGAAAATCACTCTCTCAGCATTTGATTTTCAAATGCTGCTGGATGTAGGCATTTACATGTGTAGGCTTTTGAGAAGACTGCTGAGTTTAGGAGACGGCTGAGAGGTCTGCATACTGAGGTTCACATTCCGCTCCCCAGTTGTGTGAACCAGGGCTAGTTGTTTAATTTCTCTAAGTCTCTGTTTCCTCTCCAGAAATATGGAATAATAACAGTATCTGTGTCACTGGATGCACTTATGGATGACATGAATTAACATAGTTGAAACACCATGAGAACAGTGCTGGATACTGCTAGCATGCCTGGCCCTGTGCTGTCTATCTAGCACAGAATAACACACAGTACTACATGGACCACTCAGTAATGTTTTCTGGATGAAATTATCAGTTGGAATTAAATAATAATTCACGTGGCCAATGGAAGGTACCTGTGTTCAACACAGAAAATCATGTTTAAGTTGAAAATTTCCAAACTACTTAGGCACGTCTATTGTTTTTAATTATCAATTTCAGAAATAAAATCCTAATCTGCTCATTTTTTGTTTCTTATTTAAAAATAATCAGCCAAACAGAAGAAAGAGATTGATGGAAAAGAAAGGTTAGCCATCTATGGATGTCTCTTTAGTTTATTTGCATTCTTATGCAAACCCTATCCTGACTCTTCTAAGCCTTCCATCACAGAGTTATAAACAACACTCCTCTAAAAATCAATCACTCTGCTTCCTCACCAAAGGAGAAACCCTATTTTTCCCTGAAGACACAATGTTCCTTTCAGAATTGTTTCCAGGGGAAGTAGACAGATCTCAAGGCATTGAACAATAAAAACATGTTATTTCAGTTCTTTGGGATCTGTTAGAGATGGCTAAGGAAAGATGATTATCTACCTAGATTTGGTCCAGATCACTTTTCCTGAGCCATCTTTAACTTCTGCAGTTATTAAGTTCCTATTATGAATTTACATCAACCACTATGTCATGATTGTTCTTGTCCATTGAACTCCACAATCCTTTCTCACCTTCCTGGATTT